CGGTGCCCTCCCCCGCCTCCAGTCTTGCCACGGTCTTGCGGCAGGTGTTGTGCAATTCTACATTCATTATAAACTAAATCTCGTGCAAGTCACCGTCCCTGTACTCACCTCGCTGTGGAGCACACAGTGGACATCGTCGGAATGAGTGAGAGACCAAAAAGCGCTATTGAATGCCTCGCTTCACCAACCAATCATACTTCAGTATCGCATTGTCATCTTACTACGGAAAATTAGGGCGGACATATTCCCTTAACTCGACTGTCAGTTATTTAATGGTTGTGGTCTGGAGTGAGAGAAAAACAGGTCTGACGACTCAAGGATGTCCTACACCCCTCCCACATCCTTACTACCAGCTTGCATAGTTGTGGGCGGGAGAAACATGCTCTGGGACTGCTTAACCACTCCCCTGGCTTGGGCGGATGTGAAGCAGTCACTTTAACAACATTCGCAACTGTACGGCAGAAAAAGTAAGGGGACGCGACGATATATTGCCGCTCAGAGTTAAGATACCGGACAAGGGCGTTGGCTGAACCTTTTAACGGCAATGTGTACCGCTCTTTGGAAGCTCACTCGCTGTCGGTGATTAATGTACGTCCTTATGAGAAGGGCAGCAAATTAAGAAGGAATTCTGAGTCGGAGGTGGGTGGTGAGAAAATTACTGCGTTTTTGACAGATTCTGCAATGCGACCGGGGAGGCTTATCGCTCCCAACCATGCAGTGGGTAGAAGCCAGTTATGTAACTGAGGATCCAAAAGTTCCCCCCCCCTTTTGGACCCGGTTTTGCCCGCCGATCTGGAAAATTCCCCATGGATGGAGCAATTTGGGTCATGTATTCCAAAAGGAATGGAGGTTGAATTTGAATACCGACAAACAAATCCTTTATAGTTGGGCACCACAGTTGGTAGAGTTAGGACTTACTTTTAGGAGCCCAGTTCTTTATTTAGAGGTTTCGCCCCAGTGAATGAAAGCCTGCATCCGAGTGGACCTTGCTTCACCTCCAGCCAACGGACTGGAAGAATTTGTTCGACGGACAGCGCCGAAGGGGAAGCTTAGAAAGATCCAGGACTTGCTTCACGAAAACGGATATCCTGACTGGTTTATTGCAGAGAATATTGTCAAGCTACCGGAACAACCCACCAAGCTGACTCTCGCAAAAGAAAACTCTGTTTCTCAAAGTCTCTATTCGAGGCGACACTGCGAGTGAACTCCTGGGAAAACGCCTTCATCAAGCTGTCTTACGGATTTTCCCAGCAGCAAGGGTTCGAATATTATTTTCTAATAAGCCTATTTTACACAGAGAAGGTCAGGATACATTGACAACTCAGACCACATCAATATGCATCTGCTCCTTCACTTGATCCTATGGGCATGACTGGCTGACGACGGCTAATAACCCAAGGAGTGGCCATTCCAGTCTCCCTTGTCTTTGTCGGTAATAACACTGTATGAAAATTGCGTTGAGATCGTCGACCTCACCTTATTCTCCCGCTCCCAGGCACCAGTCCAAGTCGGTCAGTTGACCGGTGCAGTGATGACGGAGCTAGATAGCCCGTCTGCGCGAGCCACACGCACGACCAACCCCCTCCCCCCTGCTCCCCCAAAAGCACACAGCAGGACTAAACACACAAGGGGGAGACGGCTGGCATCTCATATGCGTGTGTGCACTCTCTCACACATGCTGTCACCGCAGAACGTTGTCATTGATGGCATCCTACGAGTGAAATTAGAGTTTTTTTTTCTGAAAACTGAGCAGAACGGCGTGGAGGTTCTGTTACTGGCATCGCTGCCACCCAGACGTCTGCTGTGCATTCAAAGCATTTTCATCCTTTGAGCTGGGCGGTCTGGAGGGCAGTTATTTACAACCGCAGGACAGCCTCCTTTATCGCTATTCTGTCCTCTTGTCCTCTGCGAAGGTGATAGATACTCAAGTGACAGTCCGACTGTCGCTTTCAATGATGCCCACCGTATGTTCTACGACCTGGTGGGCTCAGCGACGGTGACTCATGCGTGATAGCCGACTTGGGCTACATCTGTCGCACTTTCTCCCCCTTCACTTGCCTGGACCTCGCGTTGGGACCTGTCGGGGCAAAGAGTCGAAAATACTGAAAAGAATCGGAAAGTTTGGAGGACAGATCATTACGTAGCATAATTTCAAAATATTTAAATCACGACAGGATGCTGTCTTTTGAATGAGCGTCTTTTCTGCGAAAATCACAGTCTTTAGGAACCGAGTGTGGACTGCATGCACTACCAAATTTTATAAGCGTCAGATAACACCTTCTTAATGTCACAGGATAATGCGCGGTTCTACTTAAATGGTAAATATACAACTTGTGGTTTGGAAAACCTAAGCGCAAGGACATTTTCTGGTCGGGTTTTAAATCATTCAAGAATCGAAAAGTCATTTCAAAGCAGGAAATGTGCTTTCTTTGAGGACAAAGCTTGCAGATATCGTAATATATTAATACGGTGACTCTATTATGCCTGTCTTATATAAAACATTTTTGGATTGGTGTGGACATCGAAAGTCAATGGATATAATGCATACAGAATAAGTAGTCATTTTTTAATGATTGTAGGTTTTGCAGGCGACCGAAAACACGCAATCAGAGGCCGACCTCTTGACGCGATAGATGTATTTTGGAAGTATGCTACATACAAATCAATATACCGACCTCACTTAGGTGATCCTTTGTAACGGAGATCATATGACAGCTTTCAGATAATGTTTCGTGGCGTAGTCACCTACAGCTGTTTGATGCTTCTAAGTTATCGGACATTAACTATAACTTATTTCGGTCGAGCTTTAAATACTACTCTTGTTGCTCTTCGTTAAGGACGAGGCAGCTGCATGACTGAAACCAACGATAACGGGACTCATCTGATATGTAATACCAACCATGTATGCTGGTGGGCAAATCAACAAATCGTTCTCGAGTATAATTGGACTTACACATTCTCTTAGAACGATAGTAACAGAAAACAGACCAAAAGCATGACCAGAAACAAAAATTCGACATACGTATATTCCACATTTGAACATGATTTAGATGCATAGAGATTTTCAGCATCAAAGAAGTTAGTTCGAAGGGGGTGGGAGATGTTAGACGAAACCTGGTTGACTTCACTTAGAATTCATTTAAAAATCGTCAAACGTACTTGATCATAATATTTAGGCATAAAAGAAATGAAACAAGGCGTATGCTTGTAAAATCAATTAGCTAGCGCGTCATTTAGGAATACTGGCAAATTATGAGTGTCCACTGGACAGATGTGGACGGTTAGAGACTTTTCGGGGTGGTGTGGTGGAGAACACGAAGGTTCCCAAATTAGAATTCAGGAAAGAAGGTTTCAGTTGGAGCAGCTTTTACTGGGAGAGGGAGAGAGAGAGAGTTTATTAGGCCCATCGCGCGTGTACGCATTTGGTCTGCGTTAGTTGTTCCCGTCTGTAGCCAGTCAACAAGGGACCAACGTTGATTAGCTTCGAGCTCTCGCGAGGATGGTGACATGTACTTCGCGTTCCCAGAAGAGACTCGACAGGGAGCATGAGGCGGACAGAAGGACGGCTTGACAAAGCGGCGATGATCAAGGGAGCCGCAGCACTCCCCGTCTAAACCGAATGCGACAACAGATAGCATCGAGGAGGAGCTCAGAAAAATCCAGGACTTCCTTCGCGAAAACGGGTATCCTGACACGTTTATTTCAAAGAACATTGCCGAACGACCGACCAAACCCGCCACATCCACCGTCGAAAAGAGAACTTTGTTCCTCAAAGTCCCTTTCCGAGGGCACGCTGCGAGTTTACTCCTAAGGAGACGCCTTGATCAAGCTGTCTCGTGAACCTTCCCAGCAGCAAGGGTTCAAATATCCTTCTCTACTAACCCTATTTTACGCGGAGAAGGTAAGGATAGGTCGCCACCGCAGACCACCTCAATGTGCATCTATTCCTTAACTTGCTCCTGTGGAGAAGGTTATATTGGTCGCACGAGTCGGCGCTTATCCAAGAGAATAGGGGAACACCTCCCGGTATGGCTGGGAAAAGGCGAAACGAGGAACATAAGCAGCGCCATTCTTGCGCATGAAGCTGATTTAGGCCATCGTGTGAACCCCGGCGAAGCTTTTCATGTGATTTATAAGGTCCTATTGAGCTACCCTAAGTCACTAGGCCAGTGCCTGTTAGCGACAGCAGAAGCGGCCCCCATTAGGTTGAGAAAACCAATCTTGTGCGCACAGAAGAACCACGCTCAGGCTCCGCGCCTACAGTGGTCGAAGGTCGACTAACGCTGCAACTCTCCGCGCCCTTCCGCTCCCACCCCGCCCCTGACACTGACTGCTATTCCCTCCCCCCCCTCTCCCACAAATTCTCACACCCCGCTTGTTTCAAGGAGAACCTTTATCGATTTCTCTTATCGCTGACATGTTTTACTTCTACCCCGTTCCCATATAACTCTACTGGCCCGATGAGAATTTACCGAAAGCTACGTAGGCTCGTCACCTCGTCTTCTGATTACAGCATGAAATATTGATTCCTTTATGCCTCGCAGTTCAGTCTAAATCTCTCGCAGACTGTTGCATAAGGACCAGTAATAGGGCAGATTAAACACCGATATAGACATGGTAGAACGGTAGGCTGGGTTCCGGTTGATTAGCCGTCACAACCAGGCATATTCTAACCAGTTGTTCCATGTTTTCCCTAGATCAGCGACCGATCCTTCCAGGGCAGATATGCATCCCACGTCTAACTGTGTAATGGCCTGCCGCGGGACTGATTGGTTGAGCAACTGTCACCGCATGGGAAACTTGAGGGTTTAAAGAAAAAAATCAATATTCCCTCGGTGGGCCATTGCGCACATGATCACGTTGTCGCGTCCCGACATCACGACCAAATGTCGGATAAAGAGAAAGGTGATACGCCTCCAGACGTAGAAAAGGACAATCACAGCACAGTTTCGTCGACGGCAGAACCATGCATTTTACAAGGAACCTTTACCTCGCAAAACATGCCCAAGTACTTCCCTCGTGAACACGAACTCACGAAATGGCTGATAAATCAAATGCGACGACGTCATGGATTGCACCACCTCGTTAATTTTGCTAATTCACAGCCCTTTATTTTGTCTGCCAATTTTGAGATTTTGGATCAACCGGATCAGTATCTTGATGCCAAAAATGGATCGATGACACCTGCCTATTCGAACAAAACTGTTCTCTACTTGACGCCCTTGGCGATTGCTGTCTACTTGGGTTACCGCTCTGTCATGCAGCTGCTTTTAGATGACTCGGGCACCCGGCTGAGTTCTCGTGCCCGCCAGAATGTCGACGTGAATGCCATTTGCTACGCCAAACGAACAAAACCACGAACCGGAGTGTTCGGTTCTGACGACTACTTCACTACCAGCGTCCCCATTCTGGCCATTCGTCGAGAATTCTACGCCGGCCTTGAGCTCCTAATAGACGCCAACTTTCATCCGCAGGTTAGACTCGCCTACACAGAACACATTGGCACCAGTGAACAAATCACCCACGATCTCATTGATGCCCTAGAGTATGCTCTGAAGCTGCTCATCACGCGACCGGGCCTAGATATAGCACGCGTGCTTCAGGTCTTCTCTTACTCACGTGACGCCTACGACATTATGGCTTACGATGTTTATACGGCGCAATGTGGAATGGAGAAACAGGAGATTTGGCACTCCCTGTTCCGCCGGTTCTGTCGAAAGGGTGTCAGTGCCGCCTACTCGAACTGCGGCATGCGTATAATCAGTGTGCTGCAGGTGATTGAGAGTAATGGCTTCTTTCGTCAAGAACACATGCCCCGAGGTCCCCTCACCTACGACATTGATGCCCAACGCGCGAAGGTGAGGAAGAACCAACCCACTCGGCGCGTGTTCACAAAGGACATTTACGCCCTACAGGCAGAGGAAGAGGAGGCGGCAGTAGCCGCGAAGTTGGCAATGGCTGCGGATCGTGACGCCTGTTTGGCTCTTCTCACCTTTTGGTTGAATCGTATGCGGAACCGATGCATGGCGAAGCAGGCCCAACGACTGACAACCCTTCTGCTCTCTGCTCTCCGGGACACGGACATGCTCGAGTACTTCCTCTTCCCGCCACAAGACGTGGATGTTCAAAATGTTCTCTGGCCTCCCTTCCTAGAACTTGAAGTGAATACAGCTCAGGCTGTGAGTACGCATTGGACCAGCTGTGCTGAAGAGATCAACACCTTCACGGAGGACCTGCTGTCACCCACGCCAGCGTTAGATCCTATTCAGATGCATGAACTACGCCAAGATCTCGCTGAGCTGGCATTTCCCGCTGGTCAGATAAGGGTTGACGCTATGCTGCCAAAACCCTTTACTGATGGCAGATCCGGAGACAGCGGAGATGTGGAGGAGATCGCGGAGACCTTAAGTAAGGTCATGCACCGAGAGGAACCAGCGGCGATGAGTGAAACTAAAGTCTCCGGCATGACAGCCAGACGTTCGTCTGCAGCCCTGCCGAAAAAATACCCAATCACGCGACTCTACCCCTCCACACCACGGCGGACTGAGAACTGTTCGAATGCCTACCTTGGAGGTCGAGGTGTCGACAGCCAGAATGCCAATCAAAATCACTGTAATGTGTGGTCCGACAAGCTGGTGACACTTTCACCAGCTAAAAAGGCCGAACAGTGCTGCACCGCCCTGGATCAAGGAGATGGTGAGTTGGAGAACGATCAGGTGTGCGAGGCTCCGATTGAAATCTCCGAGCATCCGGAGGAACATCACCAGTATGATCATCAGCAGCAGTTGCACCATGAGGTGAGACGACAGGTTATTTCGGACACCCGAAAACGCCAACCGTCTCGGCAGAGCGGACGGCCGGCAACGGTGCGGACAAGCTCAACAGCCAGGTTATCGACTAGCGTCCGTAGTCCTAGCGGCACCGTGCGGCGACAGTCGGCTCATCAGAAGTACTACCAGTGAGAAAACACTCATTTTGGAAATGTAGGGTAACTACAAGCCTGTAAATAGGGCACACGCCCAGCTTAATGAAAGAGTCAGCGTCCAGATGGGATTCAACAGGTTGGATCACACGAGGGAGAGATGGATGCTCCCCACCCCTGCTGCGCGCCTGTGTGCGCGTGCGGAAATGAGACATTAAATGGTTCTTATCAAGATCAGTCGCTGATGATTCTCTTCTTTGGATAAATCTCGCAGCTCAAGTGGTTAGAGCGTTGGCTGTACTAAAGCCCTCCCCTTACTGCGCGGGTTCGAATCCCACTGAGGCGCCGAGTTTTTCTCAGTTGGGTCAATATGAATTATTCAAAATCTGCGAAAGCATCTATGAATTGCGTAAGCCTGGTAATCATCTGGTGGATTCTAAGGGAATTACTTAGGAAATCCTGCCTGGACAGTCAACTTACTGTATCAAATTTGGTGGATTCCAGACGCTGCAGTAGGTTGGGCGGGTAACTTGACCCAAATGTGATTAAACTCGCGTCGTCCGGCGGGGCCTCGTAGCTCAGGTGGTTAGGGCGTTGGCTGTACAAAAGCCTTCCCCTTACTGCGTGGGTTCGAATCCCACCGAGACGCCGAGTTTTTCACAGTTGGGTCAATATGAAATCTAACAGAGCTCGAAGTGGCTCTCATGCATGGTTGCAGGGCTTGTGACATAAAGTAGTTGCGTCAGGTCGTTTTCCTCCTTCGAACACTGAAGTATATATGGTGCTTTACCGGTCCACGCTGTTCGGTCTTCCTCAGGGTCGCTTTTGCTTCCAGGACCGCCTTACCGTTGTTTGACCTCTCAAGTCTGTATTCTGTGAAAAAGAGGACTAGTAGTTTGTCAAAACTATAAGCGTGAGTCTATGTGATCCACTTACAGTGAGTGAAATGTTGGCTGAAATTCTGAAATGCGTTTTCGACTAGGAAGGATTACTTGGTCGCGGTTGTGATACTGATTATTGTAAAGCATTCTCTTATAACATTTCGGACTCGGCAGGATGTCGGCTTTTAAATGCATTTCTTTTCAATCTCCTGTAGAAAGCGTGCTCGCTAAAAAATGACTATTTAAGTAGCATGCATTTTCACCATTGATTTTTGATGGTCATGGAAATTCGAATATATTATATAGAACCCATAAATAAAAACATGCTTTCTTTTAGCCAATCAATAGAGAATCACGTCTTCTTTTTATTTTATACTTAGAGAAGAAGTAGAATTAGGTTTTAAAAAAGTTTCTAATTATGAGACTTTTTAAGACCGCGAAATGTACATTCACCTGGCCGTTTACCACTGCTCCTCATGAAATGTACAACATGGTCCGCATGCATTGCAAAATTTTATGAACTCTGTATGATATCTCTTTAATGGCATAGAAAAATATGTGATTTTCTTTACGCGGAACGCATGCACCTTGTAGAGTGAAATCACTAAGCGCTAATGCAACGAATGATCAGGCTCCAAATTATTCGGCAATTCGAAAACTTTTTTAAAACCTAATTATACTCCTTCCCTAAGTATAAAATATAATGAAGACGTGATTTTCTATTGATTGACTAAAAGAAAGCATATTTTGTTTATGGTTTCTATAAAATATATTTGAATTCCCAAGACCATCGAAAATCAATGGGAAAAATGCATGCTACTTAAGTAGTCATTTTTTTCCGAGCACGCTTTCTACAAGAGATTGAAAAGAAGTGCATTTAAAAGCCGACATCCTGCCAAGTTCGAAATGTTATAAGAGTATGCCACAAGATAAGCAGTATTACAACCGCGACCAAGTAACCCTTCCTACTCGAAAACGCATTTCAGAATTTCAGTTAACATTTCATGAGATAGATCACTCACTGTAGCAGCAAGAAAGTTCGTCGACGTAGGTTTCTCAAACATGCACGCCGATGCAGGCATCGTGACAGAATCCTGACCCAGGCCAATATGAATGTACATCCACGGTGGAAGGGAAGGTTGTGGCAAGGTTACACTCAACAGTTTAGTTGTCGCGAACTATCAGGACCACGACTGTCCGTGAACTTGTTCATAACCAAACAAACTGGCCCTCCATGCAACACGCCGCCCTCCTCCCGTACCTATCATGTTTCAATAGCAAAGTCGATTCAAGATGGAGGTGGGTGTGCGCTCAACGACTGACGAGGCCAAATCGTCATCGACACACGGGTTTGAACTGAGGTATTTCAGTCTTTTTCCGATGGTTGGAGCCGTAGGGAGGTCCCAGGTCACTACGACTATCAGGTCCAGTTTCGATTAGGAAAAGAAGAAGTGGGATGCCAGTTGGGAGGATGCTGGCATTGGTCGAGAACCAGACTTCAAGTAGTCGCAAGAGGCTCAGAGTTGCAACATGTGCTCGGCGTAGGACCGGCTTATCACGTTAGTTGACAGACCACAAAGCCACGGACTTTAGAGTGTCATAATAGTAACCGGTTCGAATCAATAAAACTGAGGATGAGGCTAGGGAGGGTGGCTAGAATTGCATGAAGCCACTGGCTTACCTGTGGCGTCACTGTGCGCTCCTTAAGCGGAACTTACTAGAGCCTTGCCCTCAGTCAGGAGGAGAGAATTTTGAGTCCAACGAATGACGCGATATAATAGAAGACGTTGTTGTGGATGTTCACTATCAATGAAGTGACCCTCCATGCCGGCCATATGTCCCTACAACGGGTCACACATGAGATGTGCCGCTCGAGTACGAGGGCAAGACTAGGGCACGGTAAGCGTTAACTGGCTGTACAGTAGGCGCATTTTACAAGAAATGCCGCGCATGGGAATGTGTTAGCACGCCTAGGCGCGGGTTCGCGCCGCGCCCGATGCCGAAATCAGGTGACCGACAAGTCGGACAATGGACTCGTGCATGAGGGAGGGATGAGTAAAGTCGACATTACGGAATCCGAGCCCAAGGCAGATCAGCCCATTCCACCCTCTTAACAATCTGGCGTGGTCCTAAACTTTGAAGAAGAAGAAGAAGAAGAAGAAGAAGAAGAAGGTGGGCTCACCGGAACAGGTTTATTAGGATGCTGACGTTTCGAAGAGCTTGGTCGGCTCTCCATTGTCAAAGCGTAAAATGCACTCAATCCACCAGAGATACCCTAAACTATTGCGACGCGCTGTAATTCATGCCTTGAAAAGCCGCCAACTGAGTGGATAACTGAGTCCTCTCTCGCGGCCTGCACCACCCAGGTGGGATCCGAGTCCTTATTATCATAAAACCCGATATACTGCACGGGGTAGTTCGCGTGTGGCACGCGTTGGCAGGGTGCCTAACCTTTTCAGTCATTGTGTCTCCGAGCCCACCTCCGGTCGTCTTGGCCCTCTCTTGCCACCGAAGCAGGTGGGTAGGTGGGGGAGGAGTGAGAAAGGTGCTGCGCAAGTCTACTCTCACTACAGACTAGGTCACGCGCAAGTCACCGGCAGTGAGCTTACTCTGTGAGGCGAGCGGCGGGCACTGTCGTTCGAGACTGCCGAATTGACCATACCTGCGCTCACTGTGTCATCGGGTCTGGTGTCCCCGTAGTTCTTTGCTAGACACTTTTCCACCCGACGGCAGTTCGACCATCGATTTCGATGATGTCCATCGTGTGCCCCACAGACTGCATTGTGGAGCAGGGACGGTGACTTACGCAGGGGTTTATAATGCCAATAGACTTGCGTAGCATCTACCTACACTCTCTCCTCCTCCCCCGCCTGAGCCCGGCGTCAAGACCAAGTCAAGAAGACCGGAGACGAGGGAGGCCGCAGGTGGATGGCTCGGACGGATCCTCGCCTTGGCGCTCCACTCCGCACCCCCTGGTCCACGCACAAATGACCAGGATTTTGACCACAAAACAATGGGGTGATGGCAGTGGTTCAGTTTTGCGACGAATGCCGACAACAGGGTTCGTCAGCGCACCCCGCAAATGTTGGCATTTGTTATTGCGCACAGATAACGCCTGCCAGAGTCCGATGTGGCCCCCGTGTTGGTCCAGCGCATCTAACACGTGACCCGTTTGGAGGGCACACTTTTCCATCCACCACAATAGAGAAACCGCTAAGACTTGATAGGAAGCCGTAAGCGCTGCAGACTGCGTACCCGTTGGTTAACACTGCTATAGCACATTCACATCGGTTAGCGACCTATCGCTTTACTACTGGGAAACCAGTATCTGGAGCCGCGGCTAACATCCGTAAAGCTCGTTTTACTTGCCAAAGCTGCCTCCAGGCGGTAATTTAGCAATAAGATCAAGCGTCACTCATTATAAAATACTAGCGTGAAGTTTGTCGATCCCGGTACTGGGGGGCAACTACCATTTGTATGCTCGCTTGTGGCAAGTTAAAGTCGGAGGCTTGCATCATGTCATTGCCAGCCAGATGACGGCCTCTATTTAGCCCCTATTTCACGGTTTAGAGAACACAGAGTGGCACTGGTACTACGGTACATTCTCCTCCTACAAGTGCCTCTCACTGTTTGTTAAAATGGGCCTGGAGCTTTTGAGGCTGTTGTGAAGACCTGAAAGTCTTGGCTTGGAACGTTGCCGACTGACAGACTAATTAGGTCCTCCCTTTGAATGAGGATCACACCACAATGACCGCTTTTTTAATGCGGTCTTTGTAGCACATCTCACGTCTGTGAGGTCGGAGCATCGTGCGTGGCACAAATTAAGCGGCTGCTTAGCGTCATATCTGACATTTAGCTTAGTTTCATTGAAAGCCGATTTATCTTGGACAAACTACTAATGCACGGTAGTCGAAAAAATGTGTATGACTACGATCCTGCTCGGATCAGGCGCATAGTTTGCTCATTGTGAAATGCAAACACGTTTTCTATCTAACAAGACGCAATAGAGCTCGGGTCTGAAAAGATTGCCAACTGATGACATAACTCCGATCTCATTCGAAACAGAGAGCAGACTGCAATCGTCTCTTAATGAAACTTTTATGTGCAGGATGCATTTTGGAGGAGGGGAGAACTGATCGCTGTCATGCTGGTCGGTGATTCCCCCCCCCTTCTTGTCGTCGGGGCGCTCTGCTGGAATGATAACGATAACTGACCTCGTCTGCATTGTCCGCGTTTTTGTCCCAAACCCTCATATCTCGCTCAGATCCCCCGTTTGTGCCTGCCCATGCGCGTCTCGTCGGTGAGATAAATAAAACGGAGACCAGAATGACCATTTCGGGCTAATTAGCCGTCGTATCCAATCTTGAGGGTGAACCACTTGGGAATCTTTGTCAGTACTCCATTGTCGTCAAGTGACTGTCTCCTGGGCCTCTAGAGAGAGCCCCAAGGCACAACTGGATGAGCATGTCCCGTAACTTGATCGGTGAGCGCTACTTCATCATAAAATATATCAGAAACTGTATAGAACCCACCAAGGAGCCGAACACCTCGTTACCGCGACATGTAGCAGCAGCAGCAGCAGCAGCAGCAGCAGCAGCAGCAGCAGCAGCAGCAGCAGCAGCAGCAGCAGCAGCAGCAGCAGCAGCAGCAGCAGCAGCAGCAGCAGCAGCAGCAGCAGCAGAAACATCGGCGAATCACGTGGCTGGGCTTTTAGCCACGTGACCTAACTCATGAAATGTGTCGAAAGTAACGAATGATTGCCGATCACTCAAAAACCGGCACCACTTCATGAGTCCAATGTCTATGCTAATTAAGTACACGTTTGAAAGAATTAAAAACAGAAAATAAATATTCAAGACACTGTTGCGTTGTTTAGATATGTCAATTTTTTTTAGAAAAGCGCAATATCCCGAAAACGTCAGAAATGGCTCTAATTTAGAAAACTTCGTTTTTAGATGTATAGAATGTATTCTCATTCCGCAAATGCAGTAAATATGAAAGTATAAATAAAATAACGTCTAATAATAGTGCTTCAGTGAGTGTGGATCACTTTAGATTCGAACTCGGGATCTTTGGTCATGGAGTTTGACACTCTACAACCGAGCCCCGGGCCCGTTGTCCTGTCGGTTGAAATTGGGAACATCAAGGCACAACGGAACAAGCGCGTTCCGTAGCCTGATCAGTGAGCACCCATGTGCCATGACTGATATTCCCGATCAAAACCGACATGATAACGGGCCCGCGGCTCAATTGTAGAGTGTCAAACTCCATGACCAAAGATCCCGGGTTCGAATCTCAAGTGATCCACACTTGGGAGTAGGTATAACGGCTAATAAGCCAGAAGTGGCCATTCCGACCTCCCTTGTCTTTGCCGGTACTATTGTGCCTAGCAGTAGTTAGCTGCTCATGTCGTGGAAAAACTGAGGTACTGCAGAAATTACCCCTATAATAGGCTCCAGGAAATTAAAAATTCTTCATTGTTCATCCAAGTGAAAAATCCCATATTGGTATTCACTGCGTGAGACGATGAGATTATGAAAACTTCCGCTGCCCATCACAACTCACATGAACTCTCACCGTCTGGGTGTCGTTTGGAGGCGTAGACGGTCTTCCGTGCCAGGAAGGAGATCGTATACATCGCGTTCCCGTCTAACTCTGTCAGATCTCTTCTCGTTCTTGCGCCTTTCAATGTCCAATAATGGTATTTTAAATTCTTTTGTCGGCACCGGGCTTCTGAAACGAGGAGGTGCTGGCCAAACAGAAGAGAGAGAGGAATACGCTTTATTTCAGAGGGACCATTGCAAAAATGTTCAGCAAAAAGCCTCCATTAACAGTGAATAAAACTAGGAGCACAAAGCAGGCAACACCAGAAAATCACAAGTGAGATTGAACAGCTGAAAACTGCAACTGTCGACGTCGTGAAGAATCGTCGTCGAATGAGTTGCAAAATTGACATGAGGTTTTATTACCTTCAAAACTCTGCTGGCGTACTGTGCATTGACCTCATTATTGTAGTCCAGATAAGCAAAAAGGGGAAGAAATCAATATATAATGAATAAAATAAGCCAAGAAATGTGCATATAAAAAAAATCCCAGGTGAATGGAGAACAGGAAAAAATGGCGGCTCAATTTCAAAAGCCCACATCGTACAGTCCACATTCTTGCGGACCACGGCTCAATAAAAGAAGAAGGAGATGTGTTAAAGGTTTCGCGTTTAACAAACATCACCCAGCCCCTGTGTACAGTTTTCTATTTCCTGAAGGCCCTGGAAGGGATAACCTTACGACCTGACCTTGGAGGTTTGTGATGGCGTGCACGCGGTAATTGTTTGGTACTTTTCCGTTGGTTCAATAGTTTACGTTCGATTACATCAGCAAGGGGGTCAGTCAGCAGTGCAGAGAAAAGGAGCGTAGGGATGGTTGGAATGAGGACGCAGTCCCATTTGTCACAACAAAGGTCTCAAAAATCGATCCTTTGTCCTTTCATTGTCCCACCAGGCCGTCATTAAGCTGTCAGACTAGCAACATGAAGCTCTTGGGACCTCCACATCTCTCCATCGTGCCTCATTCTGGCCAGATATGGTTATGCAGCCGCACCTGAGTTAAAAAAAAACCCCAGCCGCCTGTGATACGGGACCGGTGGTAGTAGGGATTTTTACAGGTGGGGCCGGGGAACGCACAGGCGACGATGCCAAGCAGTTGTATGCAAAAGAAAACCTATTGGGAATGCACGGTTATACTTTGAGTGATTGAGAAGTAGAGTAAGTGGGCTAACTCATGAAATCTCAACAAAAACTCCGAAATGCGTTTCCGTTTCAAAAAGAGTAATTAAGTAGAGTTGTAAAAGCAATCATCATGCAGCATAATTCTATAGAAAGTCAATTACCCCAGGATATCGGCTTTCGAAAAAACGTCTTTTCGGCTGCATCAAAAGACTACACTGCGTAAAAAATGGCTACTTAAGTAGCATGCATTTTTTCATTGATTTTCGATGCCCTTAAAGATTCAATTACATTTCATATAACATATGCATAAAAGTAGTCATTCTTTTGCTGATTCAGTAAAAAATTACATCTTATTTCTATTTTTTTCCTCGAAGGAAGGGCATAATTCGGTTTTAAAAAGTTTCTAATTGTGAGATTGTTTAATACCGTGAAATAGCCGTTCATAAAATGTCATGTCTCCGCATTTACCAATGTGGCTTGTAAAGGTAACAATTTGGTTCGAATCCCCTGCTTAATTTTATGAACCCCATATGGTCTCCTCTTAATACGGTAGATAAATGTATGGTTTTCTGTACGCGGAAATTATACGGCTTGTAGTCTCGAAACCCTGAAAGCATCTGTGACGGCAGGGCCGGTTCAAAATTGTACGGGAAATGGGAAAGTTTTATAAAACCAAATTATACCCGTTCCTTCCAGTAAAAAAATTGAAAGAAGACGTAACTTTCTACTAAATCAGCAAGAGAATGAATATTTTTATGCATGTTTTCTACGACATATAACTGAATGTTTAAGGGCATCGAAAATCAATGAAAAATGCATGCTACTTAAGTAGTCATTTTTTACGCAGTGTGGTCTTCTGATGCAGCCGAAAAGACGTTTGTTCGAAGTAGTTTTTCTATTGATTGACTAAAAGAAAGTATATTTTTGTTTGTGGTTTCCATAAAATATATTTGAATTTCTAAGACCATCGAAAATCAATGGGAAAAATGCATGCTACTTAAGTAGTCAATGTTTACCGAGCGCGCTTTCTACAGGAGATTGAAAAGAAGTGCATTTAAAAGCCGACATCCTGTTGAGTCCACAATGTTATAAGAGTATGCTTTGAGATAATCAGTATCACAACCGCGACCAAGTAATCCTTCCTAATCGAAATCGCATTTCAAAATTTCAGCCAACATTTCATGAGATATGTCACGCACTGTAGTTGCCCTAACCCACTAACCTCTAACTCTAACCCCTAACCATAATCCCTAGCCCTAACCTCTAACAGCATTGCGTCCATCAGGTGCGACTGCATAAGCATATCTTGTCCTCAGTCCTCCTGGAAAATCTGTCGAAATGCGGACGACCATCCCTCATAACTCTACTATGGTTCGCTGGTAGGAGTCGGCCGCAATGGTAGTTTTCCGGAACAAGCACCCCTTCAGCATTTCTTTTGGCTGACAAAGAAAAAGCAAGTTTTATACCAAAGGGCAAAAAACTTGATTCGGATTTGTCCCCACCGCCAAAGTGACTCGTCAGAAAATTCTAGCAAACAGTCAGGAAAACCTCCTCTCAGACTCCACCACCGATTCAAGTACATTGCATTGAGTATGGCTTTGGCTGTGTCAACCGACAGCCTTGGCTTCACAATGCGCCGAGTAGCATCTATGCGACAAAAAGTCAGAGGTCGAGCAGTTGAAAGCCGGAACGGACTGTTGGGGAGAGAACCTTTGAACACTTTTCCGGACTACATTCGAACAAGGTCAAAGTTACTGTTCTAAAAGGAATAGGCAGTGTAAGTTGACAGTTGGATAACAGGTCACAAAACCTCGTAAGATAAGAATTCCCATGTTTTTATCTCCTCAAGGAGTCTAGTAGGGAAACGAGACTATTCGAAACCCAAAAGTGAGGTCAAGCCAAACAACCGAGGTTAGAAAAGTGTTTTGGTCTTGCAAACTAGAATCCCCTCTTGTAGCAAGATGTCTTAAAACGTTTGTGGTCTCCCGACCACAGAACGCCCAGTATATTCGGTTGTTAGATCAAACCAGGCTTGTGGTAGATTTGAAGATAAAGTCATTGCCGAGTTTTGAATAGGCATCGGCTGGACGGACTGTGATGACGTCCAGTCTATACGACTGTGAATGCCTACCACCCGATTTTTGCACCAAATTTACAGATTTATCTCGGTGAAAAGCGCATAGTTCTGCTTGGAGTTTCGGCTGTAGGAAAGAATCTTCATTTCGAGTAAACATGCATGGTTGCTGAAAGAGGCTGTTAAGACGTTTTTGACAGACTTTCTCTCTCTAGGAAAGTCTGAATCCACAGAGGGCCTGAGACGATCACCAATGTGCCTCTGGTGTTTAATAGTCCAGTAGCGGACACTGCATCTGAAGGAATTAAAATTCAACTGAACAAACCTGAAACAGTTTTACATTAGATGGCTCGAAGTTGAACAGTCATAGTCACGATCGCTGGGACAAGAGATTTATTAACCTGGCGTTTCGGATTCCTGCTGGAATCCATCATCAGAGACAAAAGCAGATACGGGCGGTTCATGCACAAGGGGCTGCAGTATTTATAGGATGCAGTCGCCACGCTATCGCATACCTATGAATATTCACGGCTCCCCCTGCCTTCATCAGGGATCGTTGCACTTAATGTGCTGACTATTTGATGGCCGACATTCGCGTCGTTGATTGCTGAAATCTCATTACGTGCGTTGAGTGTTGGTGTGATGACTGCTCGATCATCTGATCCACCAACCCTGAAGTTAGGAAAAGTGTTCACTTGTGCTCTTCCCGCGTGGCTAATTACTCCGCCTTGGCGAAGTCTCAGCACCGAGTATGGAATGGGAAGGTCGTTTCACTTGTTAATGGACTGGGGGTCAGTAAACCATGACTCGAGCAGATCACGGCTCACATGGTTCAGTTCAGTTTATTTGAGGGAAATATAGGTGTTGAACCTTTGAACTCCCTATTTGTTACAAGGAAACGAACTATATCAAAAAT